CAACCACGAAACAGGAGGGGAGTCTCCCAGGGAAGAGGTGGGCTCTAAAGACACTGGGCAGATGCTGCTGGATAGGACCCCAAATGAGGCCAGCCTGGTGCTTTCTGGCCCCACTCCAGCCCCTCCTTTTTTGGCTCAAGTAGACTGGGCTCCTCCCTCTAGTCAGGAAAGAATCATTTCTAATTCTTTGTTTGACTAAAGTGAGGGACCTGTGTTGCTTTGTTTTTATGCTGGACTTCCAGTGAGTGGGAGTGGTAGGGAACACTCACATGTAAAATCTGGCCTTATGTGGAATGGGATGGATTGGTCCCTGAACTGTAACTGAAGGAATCCTCATAGATACCTATGGCTTCATAGGTAAGTATCCTTTTCTGAATATACAGAAGGCTTTGGCTTTTCCCTCCAAGGCAGGGGCCTGGAAATGACCCTGATGGGAGGCATTTTGTGATGCAACAAAACAGGGTTTGAAGAAAAGGAGGGACAAAGGGTGAGGCCCCACCTCTCCTCCCTAACTAACCACGCCATCCCTTCCATTTGGGCCCCTGAACAGCCTAGTGGTACATGACTTTCGAGAAGTACATGCAGGAAGACAGAATGGGGTCACTATGGCAAGGCAGACTGGCCACCCTTAGAGATCCCTGTGGTATCAACTCACCTCAGAGCTTAGTCTGACTGGCCCTCAGCCTTATCTCAAGACCTGATTTGTTAAAACACCAAGAGTAGATCAGCTCTCTGGGGGGCTGACTCATTAACCCAGCTCTCAGACATCGATGAATGTGCAGGGATAATATTTTGATCTCCTAACCAATGTCTTTTTTTCTTCTCAGTTTCCTGTTTCCCTGTAACCCTTCCTCCCCTTGAGATGGCTGCATCATGAGGAATCTTTTGCCTCAAGGCACTGCTGTAGAGCAGAATGCAGAGTAACACAAGACTAATGACTTAGGTCACTCTGAGTTAGTGTCTTTGTCACTAGATCAAGTTTTTCCAGACTGGGAAACACATGCTGTCTCAGAGCAAGGCCTGGGGTACTTGTGAGGGTTTGCACTTGCCCCTAGTATTTCCACGCCTGAGAGCACAACAACAAATCGCAAATAAAAAACACCACAACAGGTTGAGAAAGTGACTGCAAAAGAAAAGAAAAAGCTTTTGTCCTTTTATGAAAAAGGGGCCCCACATTTTGATTTCACACTGTGCCCCACATTATACAGCTGACCCTACTGGCAGATAGAGCATTCCAGAAGGAGTTAGCCAGAAGTCTAGGAGTATTCTGGGGGCATTGTGGCTTAAGTAAGAATGTAAATTAGCCCTGCCTAAATTTGGAACAATTTTGGGCTATTTCAAGCCATGTGAAATGTCAACCCTAGTAGTAAGGGACTATTAGCAAAGAAAATGTCCCTTATAACTGCACATGTGACAAGGAAAAAAAAAATCAAACTTGTTAGAAGGTGTTTGTTGGCTGTTCACCTTTGTTTGGAAGAGAAAAAAGGTGGATAGACAAGACTTTTTGGCAAGATTCCCTTTGAAGCAAGTACTCAGCTTGCTGATCCTGATTTCTGGGATCAAATCTGACTATCGAAACTTCAGAAAAATCTTGATTTGAAAAGAGAGTTGGTCTTCTCACACCTTCTTCAGTATTAGCTGCCACCAATTTCTGGTTATTGCAAATTTGTTACTCAACAATGGTACATGTTTATTTCATTAATTACTAGGAGGGCTGAACTCATTTCAAATATCTTCCTGTTTGTTTTTTTTTTTAAATCACTTCCAATGTGTCTCCTTTTTTGAATTTCCTGCTCACATTTCTCATCTTATTTATTTGCAGGCATTTCCTACATATCAAAAATAACATTTTGTTTGTCATATGTGTTGCAAGCAGGTTTTCCCAGTTTGTCCATTGTCTTTTAACTTTGTCCCTCTGGAATGTCTCCAGGCCACATCATATGATGGTAATTCAAATTAGCAATCAATATTTACTGAGCATGTTCTAAGTGCTTCATTTGTCATTAATCCTGACAATTACCCTATAGAGTGGGTACTGTTGTTAGTTCTACTTTATAGATGAAGAAACAAGTAAGAGTGAGTAATGTGCCCAGTCATCCAGCCTAGTAAGGTATGGAATATAGGTCTTGATCCCAGACCTATCTGACACCCAAGTCCCAGGTTCCAACTCTGCTCAGATACAGTGAATGGTGGCTATTGAGCACCTGAAGTGTGGCCAGCCTAATTTGAAAGGCTAAATATTTAAGAAAGAATGGGAAATATCTCATTAATTTTTAAATTGATTACGTTAAAATACTATTTTTTAATACATTGGGCTAAGTAAAATATTATAGTGTTTATTTTTTTAAAGTGCCTACTAGAAAATTTAAAATATGAGTCACATTACATTTCTATTGACAGGACAGTTCTAAGCACTTTCCTACACTACTACCCTTCACTGAGACAAAGACAGTGTTCATGATCCCTTGAGTCTTTTCCAGTTACATCACACTGTTGGCTTCTTTTAAATTTTTCATTAAACTAAAACCTCCAGGGTTTTTATTATTATTATTTTTTTAGGTGAATTAAAATCATCCCAGGACCTCACTTTCTTAAACGTTCTCAGTTCTCTGCTCTTTCTCTTATGACCAGGTTTTGTCATCCTTGTCATAACCCCGTCTGGATATTTTCCAGTGTAGGGCTTGTCCCTCTCAATCCCTCAGAGTGGGAACAGGGCCATTGCAGATAAATACAAAAAAGTGGTATCCCAAAATTTCGTTGAGCCAGAAAGTAGAATGGTGGTTGCCAGGGGTTGAGGGAAGTTGCTATTTAAGTACAAAGTTTCGTTTTGGAATGATGGAAAAGTTCGGGAGATGGGTAGTGGCCATGTGAGTGTACTTAATGCCACTTAACTGTACACTTAACGTTGGTTAAAATGATGAATTTTGTTACGCACATTTTACAATTGAAAAACAAAAAGTTAAGTTCTCAGACATACTACACCATGGATGAACCTTGAAAACATTACGCCAGGCAAAATAAGCCTGATACAGACAACTGTTGTATGTTACCACTTATTGCAGATAACTAGAACGGGTAAATTCGTGGAGACAGAAAGTAGATCACCGGTTATCAGGGCTGAGGGGAGGGGTAATAAGAAAAGGCTGAAGGGCAGGGAGCAATGGCTGCTTAGAGAAAAGACCTGGGGAGTGGGCTCTTTAGTATCAGGGACAGATAAGGGCGGGGGGCCCGCAGGAGCTGCGCCCCTCAAGGCCTTTGTCTGGGGGGAACGCGACACGGGGCAGCTGGGCCGGGGAGGCGGAACGGAGCCGCGTCCCTTCGCCCGCTGGCTCTTGCCTGTCCCTCAGTTCCAGGCGCCCCGCGCCCGCCCTTCGGAGGCTGGCGGCGCATTCCGCCCTCCCCCTTCTCGCCATCCTCCTTTAACAAAGAACTCAGAGAAACCCCACGCGGCCTGCTGCACACGCCCCGCGCTGACGCCCACGAATTGGAAATGAGCCGCAGCGGCGTGGCTGCGGGGCGGCCCCACCCGCCTGCGCTCGGAATCTTGCTTGACTCAGGGTCTTTATCGCGGACCCTGGGGTCTTTGGTATTTTGGGGGTTTGTTTTGTACTTGCTCCTTTTACTCTGTAAGTATTAAAGATTTCCCCCTGCTTTCTCTTCCTCGTCTTCCATTATCCCGATTTTAAGAAGCTTAAAATTATTTTTCCGTAATTTTCCCTATGCCCACGCAAAATCTCTCTCTCTCTCTCTCTCTCTCTCTCTCTCTCCCCCCCTCCCTCCCTCTCCCTCTACCCATCCCCCCCCCCCACACACGGTGTTTCCTTTGTTTTACAAAATGGCATCGTATAATATACACCACCCTGCATCTTGCTTTTCTTGCTTTTCTAGTGCACCGTGGAAACGCCAAGTCCCAGCTGGGATCCAGTCTTTTGATGGCTGAAAATTAATCCACGGCATGAAGGCACCTTAGTTCACTTAAGAGTCCAGTCGTTTATGCCCTTCCCTTTGTTTCATGTGTTTTACCACCATAAACGGTGCTGCCATGAATCTACACCCCCAAATCCGGAGCAATTCCTGTTTTCACCAGTTAGGTCTGAGAACGCGTAATCCTCAGGCCCACGAGCATTTCGCGGTCCGACGGGTGTAAATATCACAAGCCCAGTGCCTGCTTTCCGCCCACATGGAACCCACCGGCGCTGCTCTCTCCATTTTCCTCGCCTCCCGCTCACCATTTCCACTCTGCTACTACAGAAGACAGGCCTTTTCTCCTCCCCGGCAAGACTAGCTTCCTCAGGGCCTCAGTGCTCTCTCTCCTCCCACTCCGGGCCCTTCTTTCACTTAACCCCCACCCCCTCACATTTTCAATTTCACCTTCTAAAGGTCCTCAAATCTCCCCATCCTAAGGAAAAGAACCTGCTACTCCCTACTCATTGTCCTATTGCTTTCCTTCCATTTACTACACAACCTGAAAAACGTTTTGAAATTATTTTGCCGTTAGGTATGATAAGCCCGCGGCTCATAATCCAAAGGTATAACATAAAAGGGAGATAGCAGACCCTTGTCTGCCAATCAGCCATTCCCCTCCCCCAAGGCCACGACTGATACCGCTTTCCTGAGTATTTTTCCAGATTATAGCAACGTATATCTATTTCACAAACAGTAGCAGGAGGTGCGCAGCGCTCTGCAGTGCCGCGTCACTTCTTTCTGTTCTCTCTGGCCCCTCACCAATTTCCCACCCGTTCTCCCCTCTGCTCTTCTCACACTCTAAAGCTGCTTTTTCTAAGGGACTGAAAACCCATACCTAGTCCCTTCCTCTAGGCTGCCTCCCGTATCTGATCAGGCACCAACAGGGCCCCTTTTGCAATATTTATTTCTCCAATTCTTCCTCTTTGTTCCTCTGACTCCACCTTCTTCGGGCCTCATTTGTCACTTTGGCAAGCCACTGCAATAGCCTCCTGGCTGTCCCCTCACAAGATCTCGGTATTGATTCCTCATCTTACCACTGGTTATTGATCCAGTACTCCACAGCAGATACTCCTCTAAGGAAATGGTCCCGTAGTTTTAGGAGATTGATAAAGTTTATTGTATGGAAGGAGCACTGGCCTCGGTGACCAGAGGACAGGGTAGAATCCAGACCTGCCCTCTCCTTGCCTGTTACTGCCTTCCTGACATGGCTCTGCGTCTCTGGTTTCCTCACCAAATGATCTCGAAGGCCTCTGGCTCTAGCCTCTGTGAGGCTACAATTACAGTTCCATTCCTCCCCCACCGCCACTCCCTGTGCGGGCCCTTTCCCCAGTCGGCCATACTTTCCATTTACCTCTCACTGCACCTCTGGAAATGTCCAGATCCTACTCATTCTTGAAGACCACACTCTTAGTCGTGGTTTTTCTCGAAAAGCCTTCTGCAGTGTCTCCAAATGAGAGGAACTGCTTTGCTTTTGCAAGGCTCAGTCTGTAGCACTCTCTCTCACTAATGGCACTGACCACTCTGCCTTGTAGAGTTTTTCCGCACCTTTCCTTCTACCACTGTCTACTTCTCCCCCATCATCTCTAGCATAGTACTTTGTACATAGTAGAGGATATTGTTTTGGGAGTCCCAACACCTGAGCCCCCATCCTAGCTCTGACACTAAGTAACTGTGTTACCTTGAGCATGTCACATAGCCTTTTTGACCCTCAATTTCCCCAAATGTAAGATGGGAATAATAATCATTTCATGATGCTTTTGTGTTGATTAGATGAAATAATATGACAAAGTGCTTTGTGAACTTTAAAGGTATCTACAGATGTAGATAATAGTATAGATAAATATTAACCCAAATACTGGCAGGAGTGATTGCCTTTCCAAAGGAGATTTTTAAAAGAAGGTGCGGGAAACTGGAAAATGAAAGACTTTTTCCTCTAGGGTGCAGTCCCAAAATTTGGGACTGCATTCTAATTATTCCTTTTAGATCAATTATCAGGCAGTATTAAATATAATGGTAAAAGTTGGAAATAATCTAAATTTTGAACATGGGGAAATGATTAAATTATGGTTGGTGGGAATAATATGTGGTCATTAAAATTATATCTTTGAAGAACATTTAATGACATGAGAAACTTAGAAAATAAAAAAGCAGAATACCAAATGACATATGTGGAGAGGAGGTGTAAGAGGGGAAGAGGCTTTTCCCACCACTCTTCATAGCTTTTTGTTAGGCCTCCAAATGGGGCATTTAGAGCCAGAGAACTTGGGATACATTCCAGAGCCTGAATCCTCCACAAATAGCTCATTTCTTGCCTCCCAGGAGTCAGGGATTCAGGACAGATGAACCAGGAGCCTAGTGCCTCAGGGGAGGCCATGGCCTGTTCCAGATCCAGGGACAGCCTTTGGCCTACCTCTGTGTCCCCATGGCCTGATGCTCCAGGGTCCTCTTTGCACTATTTTTCTCCAGCTGGACTGGGAGAAATATAACCCCTATTTGTGGACAAATAGAACCTCTTAGGGCATGCTTGGAGAGTGTCCAGAGTGGGTCTATAGGAAAGGCACCCCCCAGCCAAAAAATAGACTCCAAATACAAACACTGGAGAACTAAGCTCCAAGAAGATCGGCCGTGGGCCATAGCAGTGAGCAAAATGAACGCTCACAGACTATTGGGGAAGCTCAGTGCACTCCAGAGAGAAGGTGGCATTTCCGCTGGCCATGGAAGGATGGTAGGAATTTGGCAAGTGGAGATATGACCATTAAAACAAAGCAATATGGTTATTGTCTTACATTTTATACCCATGGTGGGGGAAGGGAGGTATTTTGTTTAAAGTATCCTTTCCTTATTGCAACTTTTATTGTAGGGAATGTGGAGAATAAAGATACAAAGAAAAATAAGTCTCCTATAACCTTACCAACCTAGAACAGTGATTCCCAATCGTGGTTGCACATTAGAATCTCCTGGAGAGCTTTTAAGAAATACCACAAAACTGCCCTGGCTGGTGTGGCTCAGTGGATTGAGTGCCGGCCTCTGAACCAAAGGGTTGCTGGTTTGATTCCCAGTCAGGGCACATGCCTGGGTTGTGGGCCAGGTCCCCAGTGGGGACGCACAAGAGGCAACTGCACATTGATGTTCCTCTCCCTCTCTTCCTCCCTCCCTTCCCCTATGTTACTTAGTGAATAAGTAACATATTTTTAAAAAATACCACAAACTATCTGTAGAGAGACTGATTCACTCAGGATGAGGTGGGGTCCCACTGTTTGAGACTCACACATAAACCCACATATCTCACCCAATCCATTAGCAAATCCTGTGAGTCTACCTTCAAAATATATCCAGGATCTGAACACATCTTACCACCTCTTGTGCTGTCATCCTGGTCCAAAATACTGCCTTCTGCCTGGGATTATTGCTGTATCCTTCCGACTAGCTTCCAGCTTCTATCTTCAGCTCCCACCTGTCTCCCCGCTCTTCTCTACATCACATTCTCCAGAATGATCCTTTAAAAGCATAAGTCAGGTCCCTTCTCTATTCAAAATCCCCCCATGGCTCTGCATCCCATTCAGAATAAAAGGTAAATCCTTAGAACAGCTGTAGTGTCCTACGTGACCTGATGTGGCTACTTCACTGACCTTGTCTTCCCACACTCCCCTCTTTGTTCACTATACTCCAGGTGCACTGCCTGTTTGCTCTTTCTCAAATACAACTAGGATGTTGCTACCTCAGGTCCTTTGCACTTGCTGTTCCCTCTGCCTAGATTCCCTTGGTAGTTCTCGAGTTTCCTTCAGCTCTCTGACAGGTGTCAACCCATCAGAAGGGTCTTCTCTGACCTAGATAAACCTGCAAAGACCCCCATCTCCCACACTTTCTATATTCTCTTATCTGCTTCATTCTTTGCCAGGACACTTTTGACCACTACATCTATGTCTTTTTTGTTAATCCTTGGCCCTAGACTTAAAGTTTCACAAAGTCTCTCCTGAAAATAGCTTTTTCTGCCTGTATCAAACCTGTCTCCACTATTCAACAGTCCCATTTTCTGCCTTTCCTAGCTCCCAAGCCTCACTCCTTAACCTCTTCCATCCTCCTGCCTTCACCTGTCAGCTCAGGAAAATGAATTTCCAGGGGAGTGACTAGGCTTCCTGGTCCACAAATAGCCCAAATGCTAGGCCCAGGCCTGGCTTTGCTAGGGAACTCTGCTGCGCATGTGCTTATTTATTTATTTTTAACTTTTTACACAAAGGAGATCATAACATCTCTATTGTTGGACAGTGAGGGTGTTTTCCAAGTTTTTACTATTGTAGGCAGCCTTGAACACACCCATGATTGCTTCCTTCAGATAAATTATTTGAAGAGGAATTAGGCAAAGGGTACACGACTTGCAGGGCTTCTGGTGTATAGAGCCAATTTTTCCTTCAGTTTATCTAATTATAGTCCCACCAGCTGTATGTGATGCCTTTTATAGTCTTACATCCTTGACAAAACTGGGTATTTAAAAAATATTCAGAGGTAAAAATCTCATTTTAATTGACATTATTGGTGAAGTTGGGCATCTTTTCACCTCTTTCCCTTTATTCTAAATGATTTACCTTTGCCCTTTTTTCTTCTATTGGGATATTAGATTTTTTATTCTCTTGATTTATAGTCATTTTTATATTAAGAACATTTACTTTTGGAATATATGTGCAAGTTTTTATTCAGTTTGTTTTTAATCTTTCAATTCTGTTTTACACTTTTTAACATAGAAAATTTAGAAATATTTATGAAATCGAGCTTCTAAATCTTCGCTGCTTTTGATTTTGGTTTCACACTTCTAGGTAGCAAATTTGTTTTGTTTTTCAAATTTTTTTTTATCCTCACCCGAGAACATTTTTTCATTGCTTTGTGTAGAGAGAGGAAGGGAGGGTGAGGGAAGGAGGGACACAGAGAAGAGAAGAGGAGAGAAACACTGATTGGGTTGCTTTTTTGTATGCACTCTGGGTCTGGATCAAACAAACTCCAATCTGACTGGGAATTGAACCTGCAGCCTTTCAATCTATGGGATGGCGCTCCCACCAGCTGAGCCACAGCAGCTGGGGTAGGTGGTAAGTTTTAAATAGTGCCCATTGTATTCCTTGACAGCTGAGATCGAGTATTAAGTGGAGAGGATTATAAACCTAGATTTTTTAGCTCTCAATCCATCTAGCCAGTGAGTTTCAAAAAGTTTTGCTTAATGTGACTTAAAGTAAAAAATATGTTTTACATTGCAAAGCACTATCCACAAAAATATTTATTTAAAAATATTTTAAAATCTTACATGAAATATTATTTACCATAACTACATGTAATATAGTCTGATATTTCCAGTTTGACTAATTCTGTTCTACAGGGTCTGGCACAAATAATGCCCCTTTTTTATTACAATCTTTTATTACAAAATCATAAACATGTAATTCTGTAACACAACAATATCACACTCATGCACACCATATGACATTTTAGGTGAAATGTTCAAATTAAAACTGTAAGTTATTACACCCATATTATTACCCTACCAACCACACTCAAGCAGGCATTACCTCTGCTGGATTCTGTCGTTTCATTTTTTTTAAAGTCCATCTTGACCTAGTAAATTGACTTAACCCATCAATGGAGCCTTGACCCAGAGTTTGAAAAACACAAATCAGAAGCATGAAGAGGCTGGTTTTCTCTCTCCCCACATCTTACCCATTTCCATGCCACTTTTACTCAATTCCCACTCCAAGGGGTGATGGAGAGGCCAGACAATCATCAATCCATGGAGACTACTGAACATGGATGTACAAACACTGAGGCTGAACTAAACTTTGATTGACATCTAAGGCAAAAGCAAAATCTCTGGTTTTGGATTTCAAGCCTGAGGATTAGAATAAGGTTCTTTATAGTTCCAGGGTCCTGAAATCCTCATGATAACTATATTCACTTTAACGTAGTCCTAGAAAACTCCTCTTGTCTATTGTGTAATCCAGCATTTGGCAACAAATGGTCAACAGGATCTCCTCTAGCCCAGCTGTCCTTGCAATTAGAGCCCCCAAAAATGTGACACTTTTTTCTCGAGCAGAGAAACTAATCCGATGCTTTCTTTAAAAAATTTTTTTTTAAGTTATTGATTTTAGAGAGGGGGAGGGAAAAAGAAAGAGAGAGAGAGAGAGAGTCATCAATTTGCTGCTCCACCCATTCCTGCATCCATTGGTTGCCTCTTGTATGGGCCCCTACCCAGGACCAAACCGGCAACCTTGGTTCATCAGAACAATGCTACAACCAACTGAGCCAACTGGCCAGGGCCCATTGCATTTTTGTTTTT